AGATACTTAACCAGTTATGGTTCAATATGGTAATGGAATTGATGGTTTGACCACTCTAGAGTTTAGACAGGTAAAAACCAGGTTGTAAAGATCAAGAAATATTATATTGTAAACAAAACTCAATTTTTTTTCATATTCCATAAATGTCTTTTAGACATTATAAACTATCCAATGTAAATTATTCTTATGGAGTCATCCAATTTTCCCTGTCAGTTTATATGGTTATTCATTTAACCACAGTACTAAAGCTGGGGCCCTTTCTACATAACCTACCAGTGCTTTTAAAACCAGACAGTCCAACCATTCTAATCATGAAAGGATACTTAACCAGTCATGATTCAATTTTATAACAGAATTAACGGTTAGAGCACTTTAGACAAGTCAAAACCTGGTTTAACCAACCAACTAATAGTATATTTTAAACAATACTCAATCTTCTCCATATACATATTCCATAAATGTTGTTTATACATTCCATATTATAGGATCTAAAAATTATTCCTGTGACATCACCCAGTTAGACCTGTCAGTTTAAACAGCTGAGCCTGAACTAGAAGCCTCACCAGTTCATTTTTCAGCTTTAACAACATAACTACCTAAAGGGCGTCAAATGAAGCTATATATCTAAAAATCCATAACCCTGAAAAAAATCGAAGCTTAAAAAACAAAGAAAGGGAATTAGTGCCCTAACAAATTGGAACCTACAAATTTTAAATTTTCATCACAATAAGGGCGAGTTTGTTTATACTTTCTCACTAGAAAACATTTAGATGAAAGGAAAAAAAGTAGCTTTAAGGAGAAGCACAAAAATTCATTTTTCTCAAAAACACCTTCCTTCCATAGTCACTCTTGGATAATTACTATTTTTTTTAAAACCTAAACAAAAGGGCTCTAAGTTCATGTTTGGGTCTGTGTTCGCCTCATCCATGTTTCCAATGCATAGAACGCGATGTTTTGACATGTTTGGAAAGAAAGTTAACTATTTTTCAAACCTGGCTTGGGGTTTGATACATAGTTTTGGTAGGACCAACTCTATAACATAAAGCACTTCACTTCAAACTCAAATTTGCAAAATCAAAATCATGTGTTACAAACCCTCACCGAAACACACTAAATAACATGATTATTTTCAGAATTACTAAGCTAACAAAGTCAAATAACAATAAATAAGTGGTAAAAAAAAAAGAGTAATGATTAAGCATACTCATTTCCAGCAGAAGCAGTAAGGTCCAAACCCTTATGCAAAACCTGTTTCTGAGGCGGAATAGCACCAACAAGATGATAACACTGACTAAGCAAACTATAAGCCCTACACTTGAGTTCAAAACAAGAGGGAATAGACTTAAGGAGCAATTGAGAACGCTCGAGATGTGACCGCGCGTGGTTGACGTTATGAGAATGGTGGAGGAGGATGGTGGCGATGCGGAGGCGCGTCTTCACTTCAACGATTGGGAAAAATGAAACTTGACTTTGACATATGGCTTCTAAACATTTCACTGCTTTACCTAATTCCCCTTTCTTCTCGTGTTGATCTGCTAATCCCCATAACCCTTCTGCTACTGCTTCCATCACCAAATTCAATGCAATAGATTCAATTTGAATTTCCAATCTTATGATGATGTTTTTAAGATATAATAAATACTTCACACTTATTCACTATTTTCGATTTTACTTTTGTTGATTAGGTCAAATTATCTTTGAAAAACTGTTTATATTCTTGACTTTGTTCATAAAGTTTAACGTTTTTCAATTCCATCATGAAAATCCGGTTTTTCATTTTTTCTAATTTCTTTTCCATCTCACTCATTCTAATTTATTCATCAGTCAAGAAAGAGGGGAAAAAGTATTGAATATATATTTTTGTTTTACTTCAATAAAACATTATTTGTGTGTAAGGCATGTATATTCTCCATCAATCAAGGATTATATTAAAGCTAAATAAGTTCACCATGTGCTTATGATTTTTTATTTTACCTTGTTATCTAGGAATTGTTTTGTCGGAAAACTTGTAATAAAAAAAAGTGGCTTATTTTTTTCTTATAGCCTAAAAAAAATATTATTATTTTTTTCAAAATTTGATACATTATTCTAATACTTGGCCATGGAGTCATAGGAGATTGTAAATTGACACATTTGTATATATTCCCTTTAGGTTACTTGGCCATGGCTGAACTTACCATGCTTATAACTCTCATTTTGTCCAAACTTTGTGAAAAATCTTATGTACTTTCATTGAATAGAGAAACTAAACATCCCATATATAACTTGGTTTCTCTATTATAAGGTAAGTTGATTTTTTAAACTTATATAGACTATAATAAACTCAGGCCCTTGCATAATCTGAATATGAGTCCTTTTGTTCAATGCTTTTATTCCATAGACCTATAAAACAGTAGACCTTCACATGCAATTCTTACAACAGAACACAAATTTCATAACACTATCTCTACTTTTCTCATTTGACACATACAAATGCAATTCCTGAAACTTAGATAGATCCTAAGGTTGAAACACTTCAGTTATATTTGCTTTCCAAAGTTTACAAAACTGAATGCAAATGTACAACTTCAACTAGCAGCAAATTATACATGGATAAAAATCCTTGGACAAAAGATTTCCGAAGACTAAGTAGGGGCAAAAGAAGAGTGAAAAAATATCCTAGGCCTTCGCCTCATTCTGTCCTGGGGGCAAGAAACGTTCCCACCATCCGGGTTCATACTTAGGATAGGGCGCCACCCATTTGTCTGCTTTGTCAAACTCCATGTTGGTAGGAGTTGAGGCTAATGCTTCTTCTAAGCCTTCAGCTACAAAACTGTCTGTTAGAACTCTATCTAGTCTTAACTTCATGAATCTGCGGAAAAAACACGGATAGAGAAAAAGCTACAAGTTAGTTAAACGCTAAAAACCTAAAACATGAGAAACTTGCATTTGATCTTATATCGCAACATTGTAATTTTGTCTGACTATCATTACTACATTTCCTTTTCAAAACAGTGCTCATGGATATATCATTTCAAAAGGATGGAGCTCCTATCAGCCAAAGCAAGAGATGAAAAGTAGAGAAAAACAAGTATATGACCCCATTTTCATTTTTAAACATGTGAAAATGACCCTTCCATTGGAAACATTCTTGCAAGGTAAGGTTGTGTATATCTACCCTCTCTAGATCCTACTAGGTGGAGCCTCATGCATTGGGCCGTCCTTTATTTAACTAACACTTCCACGAAGGAAAAGTGAAGAATAAATGGTATCCATAACTCTGCTTGAGAGGAAATTAGATTCCTAGTGACGCAAACTTTTGTAGTTTATGATATCCACTCCAAGCACCAACGCATCATCAAATTTACATACACTTCATTGTTAACAACAATTGTAGAACCAAACACTATAGAAAGATTAAAATTGGATGTACTTACGTGATCCAGGGACCATTGGTTGAAACAAGAGCAACAGCTGGTCTCTTTAATCTCTTGGTAATGTTAGGGAATTTATCCAAGAACTTAGGTTCAATCACAAGCCAGAAATCCTGTTCTTTGTCACGCTCTCCATAGTAACGAAGCCTTTCAAATAATTGTTCCTGGAAATGTTCCTCCTCATCCAGCATGAACTTTGCATTTGCAACTAGAAAATAGTACTTTTTGGTTTCACTCTACAACAAATGAGAAAAAAGGGATTAAGCTAATTACAATAAAACCAAACTCAAAAACTTAGACATGAATTGCTTGCCTAAAAAAACAATTGTATTTTTCATAACCCCCTACTAGCCTAGACAGAAACAACTGATGACATTCTAACATGGTCACAATAAAGCAAACCATACAATTATAGTCATCCTCAGTTCCTCAGTAAAAAAAATGTGCTAACCATATAACAGCATAACCACTAAACCAAAGAACTTATGCTGTTAAACAAGCAATGACTAAGTGTTTGAGAATATTCCCAATAAGTAACTACAGTATAGACTTAATTAAGCACTTATTCAATAAGCTATTTTGACATAATATAAAAAAAGTTTATCTTCATAAGGTTATATCATAAGTTTGTTGAAATAAGTCACAAACTCTTGTAAACATATCAAGTTATTTTTCATAAGCTTTTTTTTTAAAAGAACCATATCAGACAATTCTAAAGTGGGTTTGAATGAAAGAGAGTAAGAAACCTTGTTGGCAGTATCAGAAGAACTGATCTGGTCAGAATCAATAGATGCAACAGCTGTGGTAAAGGGTCTAACAGGTCTTGATTCCTTGAAGGAGATAGTAGAAGGCACAAAACCAAAAAGCAATGAGTTTGTCTTATAAGAAAGGCTTTGTCTTTTGCTTCCTGGGAGTGCTAACACCTTGCTATTAAGAATGGCATGTTGAGTTTGGCTCTGAACTACCATTGCAGTTGATGAGCTCAAAGTTAAGGTTGAAACACCCAGCATTGTTATTAACAGTTACACCACCAACTTTCTTCTTCTAGTTATAACACAACCAATTTGTTTCCCAAGTTTTGTTATTGGATTCTTACTAGTCGAATAGGGATGATGTTAATTTGTGTATGGGTAATGGAAGAGATCAGAGATTTCAGAGACAACCTTATCTAGTTATCTAGATCTAACATAAACTAATGACATGTTACTTTGGTTCCTTACTTTACTAATATGTAAATATTTGTCTAATTTTGGTGAATTATCAATGTAGAGATTTCATAACACTAATCCGCAATATATTGCATCATGATTTTTAATATAATATTTTGAAACTAAGATATATTCATAAATACAATATTGAATTAATTAAAAATATAATGTTGTTTTAGTGATGTAATGTTATGTTAGATTATCAGGATGATTAAAAAATCAAATATTTAATTATTAAGAGAGATATTTGTTTGAAATGATAGTCACACACTCCGAAAGAGATTAATTTATTAGCAAAAGGTGTGAGGATATTTTTTTTGTAGTACCAAAAAAATTGATACACCATCTTTAACAAAGCTGATTGATATAGATATCAAGTTGCGGGGATAGCTCAGTTGGGAGAGCGTCAGACTGAAGATCTGAAGGTCGCGTGTTCGATCCACGCTCACCGCAAAAATCACTTTTTTAAATAATTGGGTTTCTATTTGCTATAAATAATTATGATTTCACGTTTGGCGCTTTATCATCCAAACTTGGTTTCCAGGCTCCAATCTTATGTTATTAACTTATTACTTTAGACTTGTGAAATGAATATAATTTTATTTATTTCCATTATATCCCTGTATTTTTTAAACTCTTTATAGGTTGGGTTGCTCTTTCAACGGTGTGTAATTGTTACATAAACATTAATAAAGATAAATATAATTTATATAATTCATGAAATAATGGAAATGCAAATTCAAGCAAAATGCAAATAACATTTTCAGAGCCTACTATTTCTTTTTTTAGGTTATTAGGATAAAAGAAAGAATAAGCAGAATCTAAAAAACGCTTATTAAAGTTAAGTTTAGATCTCTTATGCTATTTTGATATATTCCTTTTGCTTAGTAAAAATAAAAATGATGTGAAATACTTTAGCTTTAGGAAAAGATTGTATATTTCTTTTCATATGTTAAAGTACAGATATATATAGAATATTAAAAAGCAAAAGGATGGCTCACAAGCCAGAACAAAAGTTAGAATAAGGTTCTCTCCACCAAGGTGAAAATAGAAGAGAACAAAGTTAAGTGTAAGATATATATTTTGTGAATGCATATAGTATAAAGTATAAAACACATGAAAAATGTTAATCCCTATGTAAAGTGTCATCAAGATCCAGGTCCACACCAATGCGATTTTTTAATATAGTTTTGGCATCTAAAGGTGTTTTGCACTTGCACTGGAGCTCCATGAATCTGTCAACATCAAAATCATACCTCTTATGAAGCTTCCTCTGCCTTGAAAAAAAGAGCCTCTTCATGAAGTCTTGGTAAGTTGGGTCTCTTGAAGTGAATAAAAAGTAGGCATATCCTATGACTAAGCCAGTGCTTGTTGTAAAAAATGCAATAGGTTCCATTACATCCCATGAGAACTCCCAGAATGTTAACCTGAAGAAGAGACTTACAGTAATTATGCCACCACCTAGTCCAGACCATAGGATTCGCCGTACCTGCTTATGCGCCAATACATCGATTTCTTCCTTTTTATCCTGCAGCTTCTTTAACTCATCTCTAATAGGATCATTCTCTGCAGTCAATGCCAGTGGAACTGCTCTTCTAACCAGATCCACCACCTAAAGATATGAGATATTGAAAATGCAAAGGAATCAGCAAGTTCACTTATTAAAGCATACAATTGAATTCGACATTACCTATTCAAGTTCTATAATGCACTTTAAAAACCATTTGTTTAAGGGTTGATATCAGCTTAAAAGATTTTCATGCAGCAGGTAATGTTCAATCCAGGAGAAAGTGACTGCAAGTTCTCGGGAATGGATGGCAGGCTTCGAAATATGTCTTAGGGAATTGAACATGGTTCATAAAAATGAAGCATTGCAGACACATATTTATTGCTAAACAACTAGACTCGGCTTTAGTTTTAAGGAAATGTCTTGTTCAGAATAAAAGTATTCATGAACATTACCTTCAATTAAGTCACATTAGTACATTTGCAGCATTAAGTCAGGAAGGTTGTTCAAACCGAAATCTAGATAGACTATAGGAAAATAAAATGTGGAAGTTTTAACAAAGGGCAAGAGAAAGCACTCATTATCATAAATCCTGAAGTGGTGAAGCAGCATTCAGATATCCTAAAGTCATGAAAACATTAATACTATTCCACACAAGTCCAACTGTTATAAATCATGAAAACATTAAGTATGGGAAAGAAAATTATGAAATTCAGAGTAACTATAGTTCATCATTCTTTACCAAAATGCTAGCAACTAGGACCAAACTATACATAACCAATACTATTAAGTCTTGAAATATGATATTTCTAATTTCACTATGTTGTCCTCTCAAGTAGAAAAAGAATAAGGATTAAGTATTTTCTAGCTGCAACTGCAGTTTAAATTCCACATGAAAATTCAAACCTTTCATTAATCTGAACAGGAATATTTTTATAAAAATGTTTTCAATTAAAATACATAGACTTATGAGTAAGAGTAAAGTCAAGAAAATGTGTTGTCCAGGACTTAGATGTGTGAGTTGTGTGTTAAAGACATGGATGTGTATATGCTATAAAAATAGTGAAGTTGTGAGACGAGTAACACATGTACAGCACTCACAATCCAAGGACTATAATTCAAAAAGGGATGTAGCAACAGAAGAGTGATGTTGAAAGGAAAAGAGAGGACCAATCAATCAAACACTAAAAACTCACCTTATCAGGATGGAGATAGACCTTGTCCCTGAAGAGAAGAATATCCCCAGCATCATCCAGAACCTTAGCAAATGCAGCAGCCTCTTCAGAATTCTTAGCAACACCCATTCTCTCACATGCTTCTAGAAGCTCAGTGTAGGGAATAACTTCCTTCCCTTCCATACCAAGCTTCATCTTGAGAGATTTCACATTCACCAATCTCATAAGCTTCTTAGCTTCAGAGAATGATATAGGAGACTCTTCTATTCCATTGCTACCACCACCACCAACATTCTCATCAGATGAATTGTCAGAGTTGCTATAAGCAACACCACCAGAAGGTGAAGAAGACACACCCCTCTTGAAATGGTTCACCATGAAAACTGATAAAGATGCAACCCCTCCTTTCCTCCTTCCACTACATTCCATTTCAAAATCCCTCAAACCCAACAATGGAGGGTCAAAAAAATGAAACCTTCCACCATAACCATGGCTTACATTAACAACAGAAGATACCCTTTGCTTCAATAACCCACCACCATACCACCATCGACTCAACATTTTCAAAACAAAACAAAAAAACTGAACTTTATGTGAAAAATCACAAAAATCACAAAATATAAGCACTAACCACCATTGCATTCGCTATATAACAAGAACAATGTTCTATGGTTTCTTCACTGATGCACAAAGCTAGCAACTTTGGAAAAAGGAAATAAAACCTGCAACAATGTCAGATAGTTTAATATAGAAAAGAAAGTGAGAATTCGATATTAAAGTTGCTAAAAATAAAAGAAGTAAAGAGAGGCAAAACACAAATGATACGAAGGAAAAGGGAAGGTGGTTGTTGAAGGAGAAACTTCACCCACAAGTAATGCATTGTATTCCGTTTGAATAGCTACCATTCTTCTCTCATTTCTAGTAGTGGATATGTCTCCTACTTATCTTCGTTTTTTTAACTGTGATGTACTTCAAATTGTTTGGTTCAAACTCCTTTCTATCATAAATATCCAATGTTTTAAAAAATTTGCTTTTTATGTATATAAGAATTTTTTATAAACATAGTTTCATATATATTAGTACAAAATTCTCTCACGTCTAAACTAATCATTGATAAATATATATTACTTTATGATACATGTTACTTTTTTTTATAAGAAGATTAGTAAAATAATATATCATTTTTTATAATCTAAAACTACATTGATAGATTTAATATTCCTCTGTCTTCTTTCTCTAGTCCTTCACCGATTATGAAGACACCATCAACAACATAGTATGTATTTGTAATTGCCATCAGTTAAGAATTAAATATGGGAAAAAAAGTTCAAGAATTTCTTGCAGTCAATGAACATGCAGAGGGTTGAGAAAAGCAAGTCTCGTGAATTTTATTCTATCTATCACAGTTATTGAAAATTTATTGACCATTCATTTTTTCACTACCTCAAGGTAGTGATGTTGATTTTTATGTATCTTTATTAGTAAAAACTTAAATTCTATATACACATACTTTCCTTTATTCTATTGTAAGCAATTGGCACTTTCACGTGGATCGATTACTTAAATTGCTGCATTTGTGTTGGATTCCAAAAATATATTCTTATTCCAAGGAGGCCTCTAGTGCCAAAATCAATGTTGGATTCCTAGCTTTAATGCTCATTCATTCACCTTTCATGTTCCAGATTATACTTTAATTTATTCTTAGCGATCCTCTCATTAATAGAGACAAATGAGGTTATTACACTTAATTGTAAGAACAAAAAAGTCATTACAAATGGAATAAAATGATTGAATTGTCTTTTCATTTTGTATTGTTTTAGACCTCACTTGTCACTCCATTAATAGAGATGATCTATGCCCATTTGCCGGCATGCAAAATCCGCATGTTTTACCCTTTTCAATGTCTATGTACTCTGAACATATGTTGAAAAAAATCAACTGAGAAAAAATCCCTTAAGAAAAATATAACACATTAGTTATATTCATATATTTAAGACACAACATTTTCATTTATAATTTCCTTGCATGATTAATAACTTTCAGTACAAAACCCATCATTTGCAAACTGTGAAAGTTAAACATCCATGTACTAGCGAAACAAGGTTCAGAACAGAACAGAACATAACAAATACTCAAACAGCACCCATCTGCTATCATTATTAACCAACTATGTCAAGGGTTAATGTCCATAGAACTGAAACCTGAAATTAACAGAGAAGCAAACAAGAGTTTGCAAAAAACATATTTACAACCACTCAAGCTTATTACATACTCCAACTCAGCTTGAGTGCTCCATGAGAGATTTTCGACATCATCATCTAGTAACCTCCCTGTATATAAGCATTCAAGCGGTCAAGCTCTTGTCGGTGCTCGCTCACGACAGCACGAACCACATCCCCAATGGACACCATGCCAATCATCCCTTTGTCATTGATGACGGGGATGTGTCTGATTCTGTTATCTGAAAAAACACAAGAACAAGAGAAGAACATGAGTTATAAACTCATCTGATATCTTTTTTAGTTTTGCTAAGTTATATTGTGTTTTTTATTTAATCTTCTATTCAAAGGACTACAAAACATATAAATATACCAGTCATCAGTTGCATTGCCCGCAGAACTTTGGTATCAGGTGAGACTGTGATAAGTTTGTTCTGCAGCCATTAGGACCGAATTTTAGATATAATAAGTGGTTAAATTAAGTATGATTTATATGTTACCTACCCCTAATTACTACTACCCAGCTCAATTGGCGTTACGAGTGCTGAATTTTTGCATCCAACAAACAATAATACCGCTAATTGGGCAGGGGTATCACTAACAAGGGTAGGATTGAATTCTCCAATCTTACATAGCATATAACGCAGGTAAGGACATCGGCTTATACCTCTTCAGTCAT